CAAAATTTATCGCTACCTTTTCACACGGCATTTCATTGACCGCACATAATTGATGTTTCATTTCTGTGTATTATTGTTATTTGTTATTGTTACTTTGTTATTGTTGTTGTTGTTGTTGTCAGTTCTTATTGAGTACCTTTTCACACGGCATTTCATTGACCGCACATAACTGATTTTTCATTTCTATTATTTGTTATTGCCAGCTCTTATTGAATGATCAATTTATTGTAACACATTTGTTATTGTTATTTGTCTTTGCTATTTGTTATTGTTATTTGTCAAAACGAAACGAAAGAAATGATTTGCAATTGTTTTTATTGAATAATTTTCATTAATTGAAAAAATTTAATTTATATGTATTAATTATTTTATTTTCTCTTCAATATATTTGTTTGTTCAAAATTCTCTAATTTCGATTGTTTAAATTGTAATTTGATTTTTTCGCTGAATATTCAACAATCCTTTGCGGATACATCAAAATGATAATTACTTAATTGATAAATGAATGTAATTACGCTTAGACAATTAAGCGTCAATCATCAAAGAATTTCTTTTTTCATTAAAAATAATTTTTTCAATTTGCAATGCATATCATTCATCGTAATGTACTATAACGTTCGATTAAACGGAAATTTAATTAATCAAATTAAATCGAAAAGTTGAAATGATTTGACAGATTACGAAATTATGACAGATCGAAAATTAACATTAATAAAATTAGATCATTTCTTCGACAATTAATTTTGCAATAAAATTAATATAATTAAATTAAACAAAAAAGAAATTGAAAAAACAAAAATATATCTTTTTGATAAAATTAAATAAAAATAAATTGAAATTTAAATGAATGAATTTAGAAAATAAATTTTGCAAATAGCAAATAATAAAATTTGTAATCCAACGATAGCAATAGCAAATGGAAATAATTAAATTCAAATTAACTTGCAATTAAAAATTAGTATTTTAAATTGGATTTTAAAAAAGGATTGATTATTTTGATTTTGAATTAATGATATGGGATAAGATTTATATGATAAAAGTTATATTTTAATTTTGAATTAATGATAATAAATGATAAGGGATAAGATTTATATGATAAAAGCTATAATCGTTTTCTAAAGTAAAGGAATTAATTTATAAAAATGAAATTATTAATATGATAGATTAGATATCAACAAAAAAATAGTAATATCATCGGTCCAATATAATTTTACCGCATAGATTTTAAACAAATCATTTTCATTTATTCGATACGTTTTAAGATATTTAATAAATACGTGAATATTTATGTGACAGTTAGTGACAGCTACGTGACAGTTAAGTAAACTAAATACAAACAAGATAATAATTTGAAAAATTAACTTGCAAATTTTTACATTTCTTTTAATTATTATATTGAAAAAATTTTTTCCTTTCTTCATTTTAATGTGAAAATACTAAAATTAAAAATTCTAACAATTTGAACATTTATAAAAGTTTTAATTAATTTATAATTTTTTGTCTTTCAAATTTATAATTCATAAATCATTATTCTATTGTCATTATTATCATCAATTATCAATTATGCCGTTCTTAATTGATTATAATTTCTTGTCATTCAAATTTACAATTCATAAATCATTATTCTATTATCATTACTATTATTATCAATTATCAATTATGCCGTTCTTAATTGATTTATAATTTTTTCCCTTCAAATCGATAATTCATAAATCATTATTCTATTATCATTGTTATTATCAACTATCAATTATATCGTTCTTTACTTGAAAACATTTCAGTCTTTTTAAATTATCAGTTGCATTATTTGAAAAGTTGTTAAATTTTGCAATTGAAAAGAAAGAAAGTTTTCCAATTAAAAATTTTATAATAAATTGCGACAAATTTATGCGACACTTTCTTATTACACATTTTTAACCATTTTTTGTAATAATTGTTCAATGATCAAAAAATTTTCCGCAATTAATTAATTTTTCTTTTTAAATTTACCGATAATTTCGTTTTAATTGTCGAAATTTTATAATTATAATAAAATAATGCTTTAAATTATCAAATCATTCAAATGAAACAATTTATTATTGTATGTTTATTATAATTAATCTAATTCATTAAAGCTTATTGTATGCGCATTATTGCAACAATAATAATTGTACACGTAAGTGGAATTACTTTATTTCAGGTTATTGCATGCGTAAATTTAAGCTTATTGTTTGTATATTATTGTAACAATAAGATTTCTATACAATAAATGTTGTAACAAATAATCTAATATATGCAACGATTAATTAAGTTTAAATTATTTATGCAACGAGAAGAATAAAAAGCATGCAATTAATACTTGCATTTTTAATTAGCATTCATCAAATTTGAAATGCGAAATCATTTTTGTTATTATTTTATACATTTCCAATTTTTTTTACAGTGTCCAAAAATTAAATGATAAATGAATAATAAAGAAAATTATAATAGTTGTTATTATAAATTATTGTTGCTAATGAAATTTCGAATAAATAAATAAATAAATAAAATAGCATAAAAAACAAACAAACAAATAAATCAAAAATAATTTTTATAACAACAATAACGATGATGATAATAATAGTAATAATAAACAATAATAAAATAATATTGAAAAAGATTGTTGAATTATCAAAAAATGCTATAATAAATAATATTAAGAAAAAATTTATAATTACTATTGCTAACATAAAATTTCAATAAATAATATAATTTTTTTTATTAAACAAATAATTTAAATTTAAAATTAATTTCTGCGGGAAATGAAAATAAATAAGTAAATGGGAAAAGAAATTTTCATAATTTTGTTTACTTATTTATTTCTTTTCAGTTGTTAGAACAAAATTTAACAAAAATTATAATTTTTATAAAACAAATTTTTTTGTTTGTTTATTTGTTTATTTTTAGGTTAAAGTCGAAAAAATAAACAATCAAATTATAATTTGATTTTTGAAATGAAAAATAAATGGAAAAAATGTGTTAAGATTATTTGATAAATGATAAGATAACTTCTTTACTAGAACAAAATTTAACATAAATTACAATTTTTATGATATGATTATTTTGTTTATTTGCTTGTTTTTGGATTAAAGCTATTGTTTTTCGATTTAAATGAATAAGGAAATAATCAATTTCTGTTTTATGTAATAATTCAATTAGATTTTAAAATTGTTATGATTATTTTGATAAATGATAAGATAACTTCGATCAATAAAATAAATCATCGAAAAAAGCTAAATGTAAAATTACGATGAAAATTGGAATGTAATAAATAAGTTGCAGTAATTTTTTCCTTCCCGTTTTTTTCAACATAATAGTAAGAAATGAAGAAGTAAAATCAATGTAAATAGTTTTGCTTACCAAATATGTAATGCATAAAAAGCATGCATAATATGCATGCATACATTTATGCATGCTTTTTTCTTGCATGTTAGAAAAAAGAGATGCATCAAATAGATGAAAAAATGCAAATGAAATTAAAATAAAATATTTTAAAAAGTACAAGAAGGTAAACATTTACAAATTCAAGTTATTATTTATTTCTTGAAAAACTAATTTTAAATTTAAATTTTTTCTAATTAATTTCATTTAATTATCGAATTAATTAATGTTAGGCATAAAATGTTACTTCAAAATTTTCCCTTAGATTTTTTGTAAAATATTTAAAAAATTTTTATTTCAAATTTTTCACTTAAATTTTTGCAAAAATTTTATTTCAAATTTTTCATATTAAAATTATTTTTACGACTTATTACAACAGTAAGTGAAAATGGGTATAATTTAGGAAATGCTTTAAAAATTTTAGGCAAATGAAATCTTCACCTTACAATTATTTCAAGAAAATATTGTGATAGGAAAGAAGTAAATATTAAATTTAAAAATTGCATTTTGTTAAAATGGATTTTTTTTTTTGCTTAATTAATTATTCGAAATTTTTTGTCAATAAATTATTTTAAAAAAAATTGCAACGAAAGGGCAGGATACGGAATAAAGTGCTACTTCCGAGATATCTCAGGCATAGATGTTAAATATTGTGCTAACATTACATGCAATATATTAACTACCGTATTAGTCGTAAAATTTTAACAAACTTAATTATAATTAATATGCAAATACAAATAACTTTGTTGTCATTTAATGAATTGATTTAAAATTAATGCTAAAATTTCAAATTAATAAAATTTGAAAGTCTTTAAATAATTTCAATTCTTATTTTTTAAGTTTATCATAAAATAAGAAACGAATTGTTAAAAGATAATGTAATTATTTCTTTCAGAAATATGTGATAATTTAAAAAACTCTGATAAATTTAAAAATTATTAATAAAAATTGGCAAGTTTGATGAAATCCATTTTAATATTATTTAAGGGAAAAATTTACATAAATTGGCTTTTAATTGAAGTACGAAGGAATTCAGAAATTTAAGGCAAATTAGATAAGGTGTGAAAGATTTGAAATATAACAAGTTAAGGTAAGAGTTCAACAAATTACTATTTATGCTATCGTATTTTTGCTCCTTCAAAATTATAATTATCATTCCTAAAAGGTTATATACTTAAAGTTCAAGAAAGTTTTCAGATAATTATTACTTGAAATTTCATTCTAAAATTTGAAGGACGAAGAAATTCAGAAAATGAAGACAAATTGGATAAGGTATGCGAAAGATTTAAAATGCAACAAAATGAAGAATTATTCAAAGAGATAATTATCATTTCTAAAAAGTTATAAGGTGAAAGTTCAGTAAAAGATAATTTATAATTATTTTAATAAGTAAAAAATGATTTTCAAAAAAAACTTCGAAATTATAATTTATTATTAAATATTAATAAATTTTTGTTAACAAACAAAATGTTTGTTTGTTATTTTATTTATAAATTAAATGAAATATTTTTTTGAATGAATTATTTTGCTTTGTAATAATAAATTAATTAAAAAATTAATTTAAACAAAAAGAAAAGTGATAATTTTTGAAAAATTTAAAACTAACATTCAAATTGTTTATCATCCTGTAAGAAATCATCCGATTCACTGTTACACATACCAGAATGTAAGACAATATCATCTAAAGCTAACCAGAAATAATCATCCTCTTCTTTTTCAACTTTTAATGATATCTGAAGAAATTTTATTAATGTATTTACCAGAACAAAAACAGTATGATTTTAAAATTATTGATCGTTTTGTTAAAATTTTGAAATTTTGTAAAATTTAACAATTTACTGTCAAATTTAGCTACCGTAACCTGTTAATGATATTGAAGAAATTTTATTGCTGTATTTACTGCAAAAATAGCATTAGTATAAATTATTGATCGTTTATTAAAATTTTGAAATTTTATAAAATTGAACAATTTACTATAAAATTTAACTACTGTAACCTGTTAATGATACCTGAAGAAATTTTATTGATGTATTTACTTGAAAATTATTAATGTATTTATTGCAAAAACTTTTAAAATTGGTTAAAGGTCAAATTATTTCAGAAATATTGACCGCTTAATAAAATTTTTACTTTAAAATTTTGTTACTTTGAAAAATTTAGCAAATTTACTGACAAATTTAATTAATGTAATTTGTTAAATTTTTAAAATTTGCATTTTGAAAAACTTTTAAAATTGTTCAAAGGTCAAACTTTATTATTTTCATTATTATAAAATCAAAAATATGCAACAGAAATAATAAAATTCTAAAAATGACTAAAATTAATTACGATAATTAAAATAAAATTTGAAGAAATATTTTCTACAATGAAATTAACCTTAAATAGATCACGTGAATTAATAAAATCCATAAGTAAATAGCGCCATTGTTCTTTTGGTATTTCTTCTAACTTTCCTATCAGTAAGATATTTCCGGTAGCATAATTTTCTGTTTTATGTAATAATCCAACAGTGAATATACCTAAAGATATTATAGTTAATTTAACATATAATTATATTGTTAGTAGAAAATTTGAAATTTTCATTTTTATTTAGAAGTTAATAAATTTTTCAAAAAATTTAATTCAAACTTATCATTTAAAAAATTTTTGATAAGATTAAAAAAGCATTCAAAACATTGTTTACTAATTATTGTGCACTGATTAATGATTGTTGTTTACTAATTAGCATTGTTTACTGATTATTTTATTCTTCAAAATATTGAAATATATTTGATTCGTTGAGTAAAATTTTTGAAAATAATTTTTTTAAAAACGGATTTGAAATATTTAAGTTATTTTAAATATTTGAGGAATCTAAAATAATAATTCATTAATTTAAAGAAATCATCAATAGTTAATGCCAACCTTTGCTGAATTGTCTAACATAAATCCATAAGCTTAGACAATAATTATAATCATTAAGAATAATTGGTGATGATATTAATTGACCATAATTCGCATCAAATATTGTTGATTTTAAACTTATGAAACGTTTTGCTATAAAAATTTCAGCATAATCAAATTTTAAAATTTCATATTTATGTGTTAAACATTATATGTTTTAATTATATTATTATATTGATTTAATACGATTACTATTAAAATATTTTATGCAATTTTATACAATCAATTTCTTCATTGCCAACCATTTCATTTGTTTATTTTGTGTTTAATTTCAAACGAAAAAATAATTTAATTCTGACATTCTGATATTTAATTCTGATTATTTAATTCTGATATAGAATTAATTATTAATCATTTCAGTACGATCTAACGATATTAAATATAATTCCTAATATATTTAATTATATTAAAACGTAATTTGCAATTTTGATTTTAATTCAGTTTCCGAATTTTATTCATTTAACGATAACCTTAATGAATACTTACTTACCTAATCGATTTTTTGATTCATCGTTACTTTTCCATTTAACCATTTTCCACTGAAGTGGAGCAAGTGGATCGGAATAGAAAAAACATTTTTCTGATTGCTCAAAATCGAATCGAAGTTCCAATAACTCTGATCCTATCAGTTCAATTTGAAATTTCTTTTTCAAAAAGAAATACACAGTATTTCAGAAATGGCTTGAAATTTATATGGTAATAAAATTTAATAAAAATTTCATCTACCATTTGATGGTGTTCGAATTACTTCCTTAACACTCCATGCTGATTCAATGCCATTTGACATAATTACTTTCACAGTAAATTCATAATCTGTTGCTGGTTGTAAATTATTAAGTACCACATATGGTATTGTTGATGTTACTTTTTTCAAATTTAACGATTGATATTTACCGTATCTGAAATGATCAAATATTACCGTATGATACAAGCACAGTATCTTGCATAGGCATAAAATAATTCGTAGATAAAAATGATTAAAATTGAAGTTTGGAAGGAATTTTTTATTACATATTACTATTGCACGTGATTAATTTATAATTTTTTATAATAATTATATATATATTAAAATTATTAATCTAATTTTATAATTAATACATAGTAGTAGAGGATTTAAATTTTAAAAAAATTAATTACATACTGTATTATATATTTTCGTTTTCGAAATAATGATTTAATTGCTTCAGATTGATGATTTAAATAAATATCAATATTTGGATCGATCCACTGTATTGCAATTTCAGTTGATGAAATAGATTTTGCTTGAATATTTGTTGGTGTTAGCAAATTGATTAATTGTTCATCTGAAGTTTATTCATTCCTTTTTTTTAATTACTATTAAACTTTTTAATTCAATTCAATTTTGCAAATAATACAACAAATCAAAATTATAGCAAAATTTTCATTCTTTTTTGAAATAATTTTCTCTTTACATAACAATTATTATTTTTTCGATATTATATTAAAGTAATAAAAAAATATAATTAAATTAATAATTTCCAATTAGAATACTTTACTTAAAATGTTAACTTAACAAAAATAGTTATGCAAAAATGGATTGTTACCATTGTTTTAAATTAATTACTATATAGAATGTTTACTAAATTTTCTATTAAAATATCCACTTAAAATTTATCCTGAAGTTTTTACTTTTACCTGAACTTTTTTCAATTTCAGTAGTAGCGGTGAAAAAAACTTTTTCAGAATCTTCGCCATCTGCTTCATTGTATGCTGTTAATGTAAAAACATATGTTGTATTAGATTCTGAAAAAAGAAATTGAAAATCGAAATCGAATTTTTTATACAATATAATTATAATTAATTATAAAATTAAAAAAAAAAAATTTCATTTAATTTGAACTTGAAAGAATTTAATTGAAGAATTTCATCCGGATATAAATAATTATTAAGCAATTTTCGATAAGAATAACAAATTAAAAATTTAAAATTAAAAATTAAAAATTAAAAACTAGAAATTAGAAACTGAAAATTAAAAATTAGAAATTAAAAATTAAAAATTAAAAATTAGAATTTAAAAACCAAAAATTTAAAATTAATAATTAGAAATTAAAAACTAAAAATTTAAATTTTAAAATTTAAAACTTAAAATTTAAACATATATTTTTGCTAGCTTCGAATGAATGAATATTTGTATTAAATATTAAAGAGGAAAAGAAAATTCAACAAATTTTAATTTACTCACTAAGTTCATTAATTGTGAATGTATTAATATTAGCTCCTTCGATGATAATACGTCGACTTGGTGTTTCAATTCCGTATGATATGGTATAACCACGAACCAAAATTTCATCTGCTGTTGATGGTGGATCCCACCATATTGTTATACTATGATCATCTGTTTTCCAATGAACATTTTCCGGCATATCCGGAACACGCCATTCTTAATAACAAAAAATTTTCCTTTCCATATTTATAAAGTTTGCTTTTCCCCTTCTATTAATTTAAATTTTTTTTCTAAATTATTTATAATATTATAAATTGTAAATTTTATGATAAATTTTCATTATATTATTAATTGATATTTTATCATATGATATGATATGATATGATATGGTAATCTTTCCAAACCTTCAAAATTTTATGGAAAAGAAATTTTAAAAACAAATTTATTGGTAAGTGGAAAAAATAGAAAAAGTAAAAAATTAAAAATTTAGGGTCAAAAAAAAAAATGAATGGTACCTTCTTGTGCGCCAATTATTGACAGCCAATGAAATAAATTGAATAAAGCGAAAAAAATTGTAGTGAATTTGTTAAAATTTTGTTTCATCGCATTTTATTTGCTACCGATCACTCTATAATTCAAGGAAGATTGTCGATATTAGCTTAGCTAAAATATTTTCTTTTTATTAAATTAATTAATCAAATAAGAAAGCTGTCAGGAAAAAAAAAAAGCAAAAGAAATAAAATACATATAAATAATTCGTATATCCTTTTTAACAAATATAAATTACTATATTTTCAACATTTAATTAATAATTGATTACTTTGAAAAATTCAAACTTTTAAAAGTTAATTTTTAAACGGTTTAAATTTCAAAAATTCTAATCAAATATTACGCTTTAAAACTTCGAAAAAGAATATCACACACTTGGAGATTATAAATCATATGATTTTTAAATTTCTTTTTCTTGAAATTAAAATTTCAACCGATCAATCTAATTTTTTTTTCCACAACTTAGCCCTACAACATTTTAAAATGATCATAAAATAGAATTAGCATATATTTTTGGAATGCTAGAAATTTTTTCATAATAATTTCCGGTTAGAGACCTGAATTATGATGTGTGTTCCAGAAAATTTCTCATACGACAGAAGTGAAAGTATGAAAAAAAGAAAGTTAAAAATTATTAAATTATCCTTCTCAATAATTAATTCAAAAAATTTTTGACATTAATTTACTAAAAAAAAAGAAAAGAAAAGGGTGGCAACAATTTTATCAGTTTGTTAATTAAAGAAATATTTCAAAATAGAATGAAAAAAATTGGAACAAAATTATGTATACATAGTAAAGTAAAGCAAATTATAAAAAAATATATATATAGTAAAAGTAAAGCAAAAAATTTTTTCAAACAAATTGTTTTAAATTTCAAATTAATTTTAAAACTTTAAAAACAAAATCAAAATATTGCGTAATGATAAAACAAAAGAAAAAGAAGTAAATCAAAATAATGATTTTTGGTAAAATTTTCAAATGAATTCTAATTTAGCCATACGAATGGTACCAATTGGCTGGCAACAAGAAAAATAACTTATTTAAATTTCCTTTTCTTCATTCCTATTTTTCCTGTCAACAAAGTTGAAATGAATGATTTTTTCTTAGTTGAAAAATAAGATATTTGGCAAAAGTTCTTCTTATTTAAACTTTTTTTGCTAAGAAAAAAAATAATAAAATTTTATTGCATAAATATTTGATAATAGCTTTTTGATGAAATTTTTCGTAATCATTTTATTTTCAATTTTTTTAAAAATTTGTATAATGATAAGATAAGTTAGTGATATGATAACCTAATGATAAGATGAATTAAATGTTCAAAGACAAAAAATTATTATTAGATAATAATGATAAAATAATATAATAATAATGATAAAATAATATTTATATTATGATAACAATTAATTGTTAGTGATATGATAACCTAATGATAAGATGAATTAAATGTTCAAAGACAAAAAATTTGTTATATTTTAATTTTTATCTTTTATTCATAACTTAGTGATAAGATGAATTAATTGTTCAAAGACAAAAAATTGTGAAATTAAGTAATAATTTGAAATTAAAATTTATAAAATTATTGTATTCTTTGAAAAAATAAGGAAGATATTCATCATTATTATTATTAGATAATAATGATAAAATAATAATTATATTATGATAACAATTAATTATCAGATAATAATATTATGATAATAATTATTAGATAATAATTATATTATGACAATAATTATAAGTGTGAAAAGTATATATAAATAAGTAAACAATAATAGAAGTGAAAGCGGCATCAATAATAGAGACCATACTATTATAATTACATTAATTCATTCACTTCTACCAGTACCAAACATTTCCTTCTTTTTCAGCTTCATTAATTTATGACATATTTAATTATACAAAAGGCTCTCTCACCTTTTCGCTATCCATAAGGGAACAGCTTTGGAAATTGATTTTGCATTCGATGAAAAGAATAGATAGTAGTAGTGGCCTAAATTTTCATCATATCAAATATTTGCAACAAGAAAATATAAGCTTGAATATTACAAACATTCAAATTGTTAATGATAATAATTCGATAAATTTTTTGAATCAAATATTCAAATTTAGGCATAAATTATTTTCACTAATTTAGGAATTACTTCTTTGTTTTTGAAGTAAAAATTGGAAAAATTTGCTTAGATAAAAGAAAAGTTTTGTTTTTTGATTTTTTATAAATTAATTTTTTATCTTTGATTAATTAATTAATTTTGTCAAAAATTAATTATGAAAAACTAAAAAATTAATTTATAAAAAGAAAATTTTGAAATTTTTGACCAAAAAAGTTATTCATAATTTTAATTTAAAATATAGCCTACTTTTACTAAAATTTAAAGCTAAATTTTTTAAAAGCTAAGAAAAGAGCAAGCATAGGCTTTTCAAAATTCGATTTAAGCCTGATCTAATATCATCACTATTCCTTTAACAAAGTTCCTACAAATGTCTTCCTAAAGTCCATGTTATTTTCAGAGATCTTAGAATAGGCCTGATATGCTTAGGTATTGTTTTAAATTTGATATATTAGAAAATGAAAAGAAGCAATAAATATTTCTAATTTAAGTTATTAAGTAAAAAATTGATTATAGTTATTATGACGAGCAAAAAATTAACAATGATGAAATATAATTACGGGAAAATTTAAAATTTTTTTATAAATTCATGCACATATATATATTGACAGGCTTATGCGTAGGCGTATTATTTACACTTTGATTACATATAAACATAATTAATAATGGTAAAAATTAATTTTATTTATAAATAAATTATTCCAAACAAATTTTAAATAAAAAATAATATTTAAAAATTTTAAAATGATACCTAATAATAATAATAATAATAATAATAATAATAATAATAATATTATTATTTCCTATTAAATATGTAAATTTTTGATATCATAAATTAAGTTAGTAATTTGAGAAATTTTTTTCAATTTCTGAATTTTGCGCGTATCAAACAATAATTAATTCAGTTACCTGTACTACGCGTATTAAATGATAATTAATTCAGTTACGCGTACTACGTGTATTAAACAATAATTCAGTTACATGTATTACTGAATTAATTATTGCTTCATAATCATAAGAAGAGCTATAAGAATCATAAAAAGAGTAATGTATCATAAGAATGTATCATAATATAGTAATGTATCATAAGAAGGTAATGTAAACAATAATTAATTGAATTATATTTAAGTACTTAATTAAATTTTCAATCTTCTTTTTAAAATGGATATGAATAATTTATTACAACAAAATACATATGTGAATAATAGTTATAAGTAAATATAAACAAAATCGTTGCAATATCATTTTGAAGTTTACAAAATCATTTCACACATATTAAAACGTATCTAACATACATCAATTACCTAACAAATATTTCTTATGATATTAATTGATTAGTTAATTGTATCTGTAACCAAATTAGTAATGCAAATTAATATGAGTTATTAGCATTAAAACAAAAAAATTTTTTCATTCGAAATTTTGCAAATAATTGATGCAATAGAAATTGTTAATAAATAAATAATTATTGATATAACAATAATCACCAAAATTTACGTTAACAATTAATTATTGATATAACAATAATCATCAAAATGTACGTTAATTTATTAAAAATAATAATATTTTTTTAATTTATAGAAATCGATAATAATTCTAATATTATTATTACATTCAAATATTTATGTCATTTAATCAAAATAATAATAATAATTCTTTCATATTAATAAATAAATTTATTGTAAAATATTGGAGGATAATTTAATGCCAAATGAATTATTAAGTGTGGGTGGCAATATTTTCTACAAATCTTTTGCCGTCGTAAACATCGTAAGTTAATACCATAAAATGAATTATTGTTATGAAAAAAATAATTTTTCTTAATTCGTAAATGTTTTGATAATAATAATGAGCTAATAATATATTTTAACCTATTAATTTATTATTAATTATTTATTGACCATGTCATTTGATTCATTTATCAGTAAGCAATTATTCGTTTTTTACTATCATATCATCGAAAAAGAATAAAAGAAAATAGAGAAAGTTAGATTAATATAATAACAATACAGTAATAAAAAATGGATAGTAAATAATGATAGAGATAGAAAGGTTATTATAACAAAAAAAGTGATTCAAAAATTATTATCATTATCATTAATTATTATTAATATTATTATTATTATTATTATTATATTACTATTATTGATAATTATTATTGGATGGTGGTAACGGATGAATAAAATGTTTGCATATAAAACGCTTAGTTTCTTGTAAACAATAAAATTAAATTGCATATAGCTTAATAAAGCTTAATCGAGCTTTATTCAATTTCTTAAAAACAATTCTCTATTATTATCATTTTTGTTATTATTGTCACTATCATCATCATTTTTATCATCATCATCGTCCTTTTATCTGTTGAAGGATCATTCAAAATTTTTTGCATAATTTTATGTGCTATATTAAATCTTCAGGAAAAATTAAATTATCTCATCAATAACAACAACAGCTAAATCAACAACAACAACTACTACTATTAATACTACTATAAGCTACTAAATGGTTGAAATATTTTAATGATTGAAAAATGACAAAGTTATGTGTGTGTTCTTCGTATGATATTATCATTATAATCATTTATTTTAACAAAAAATGTCAGAAAATTAAAATCTGCTTAAATTTTATTGATTTACCCATTTTTCAATTACTTTGTTTAATTAATTAATTAATAATAATAATGATAATAATACTAACAACAATAATAATAATAAAATAATAATAGTAATAATAATATTAATAATAATAATAGTAATAAATAATAATGATTTAAACATATAAATCAATGTAAATAAGAGGAAAAAAAATGCGAAATTTTTTGTTGAAAATAAATTTTAAAAGAAATTGAAAACGGAATAAGTAATTGGAAATGTTGAAAAAGAACAAAAAAAATCCATCCAATCCATTCCATTTGACTTTTTTTTCGCTTTTTCCTTTTTCAAACATTTC